CGGGCATTTAACATATCCCTCCTGCTACCATTCTAGCTGGTGGCCAGAATTTGAATGGCTGGGTGACGTAGGAATAATTTCAGCCCTAAATAAACCGCTGTCGAGGGCATCGTTGGGTTACGAGAGTGGTTGATTCCGGTGCTTGTGAGTAGACACAGGATGAACTCTCTTTTGTTTGCATTTACATTGTACGTCAGAACTTTGAAACACTTAATGCACTCACGGGGTATCACTAGATACCTTTAATCGCGCTCATTACAAGCAACAGTTCAGGTGGCTCAAGTCAGCAAAATGATGCGAGATACATCTAGCATTAGAGGTGTTGGAATACTATGGATTTTTATTATGCTAAATCTTCCTTAAAAATAAAAATAAGCAAAGAGCTGGTTGTTACAGGCGCACTTTGAATCAGTGATTTATATCCAGTATATGTTGTTTTTTTCAGTAGAATTCCATGCATTGAGTGTTCGGGATTCAGACGATTTCTTGCTGACCTTCAACAACTTACTACCAAAGGTGTGCAGTGGTTTGTGTCATGTGCGTTCTCTTAAACTAGCTTATCATTAACTTTGTCCATTCGATTTTCAGGACAATCGCAGCGTTGCCATTGTTGGTCTCCATTGCTGTGGTGATTTGCAGGCGGTAATTTTTCGACTAATGCAAAAAGTCCATCGTGTCAAAATGTGTCTCACAGTTGGCTGCTGCTACCATAGGATGACACCGATCGAAGGTAGCACTCGTGTTCTCTCAAGCTGTTGTCACAAACAGACAAGATGCATAAGAATGAGGCAAGAATTAAAGAATGATATCGAAGAGACGGGTTAGCGGGTAAGAAGTTAATGCAGATGAATGTCTAAATGTATGAGTTAACATGACAGGATCGAATCGAGCAGACTCCTCATTCTAATTCCTGGTTTCGTGGAGTCTTAACGGTCCGCAAATTGAGCTATGAACATATGTGAAGCACCAACCATAGCTTTAATCACATATCTTTTGGGATAAATATCTTTAATCGAGATTTCTGCTTTAATCCTGACGAGGGCGTCAGAAGTCATAAAATCTCTTTTGAATTAAGTATTCCCCTAGACATGAGGAAGTAGTAAATAAATTTATTTTTTACTCTTAGCCTACTGAATTAAATCGTTTATTAGTAAACAATATTTTATGAAATAAACAAAGATCCTGGCACTACGAAGGAGGGTTTCGTATAGGTTTTTATTGCTGACTGGCGGTTGATTTAAACCTGCAGTAATCGTACTCGTTTTTCATAATGTAGAAATTTCGTCGTGCGTAGTAGTATTATACATGTTTTCTAAAGGAAATTACACGAAGGGATCTAAGAACCGATTTTAAATTAACTTCCACACAGCTTCATGACATTCAAGTAATTTCTTCGTTTATGAAATGATTTCTAAATGTCATACCAGTATCTTGCAGTTGAGAACTCGAAGCTAATCGGTTTACTGTTTCAATTGTTGGCAGGCTAAAAAATTTTCATGTTGCGAGTCATGGAATCAGAAGACTGATTAGCTTCCTCCTATATTGTCGCCTGAATAGTTCTGTACGAAATGGGTACACAAGAAGTGCTGCGTCAAGATATGCAAGAATCTTGTTATCTCAACACAATATTACCTGCTGTACAATTGTTCAGGCATGGCGTAGTTAGCCTCGTTTGGCCTTTCTTGAGTGAAGATCTACTGGTGTCATAGCTGCATTGAGGTTGTAAGTGGATAAATTAACAGGTATCGTGATCTGCACTGTACTGAAGCGATTAATTCTGGACTTCTGCGCTGAAACGGCTTATTAGCAAATACTATAGTGGCTACGTTGAAGTAATGGCTTATGTTCCTTCTTGTCAGTGTAATCATTCTGCTGTGACAGCATGTAGAATTTCCTTTTTTGACAGCTGATTTCTTTGTAGGCAATTCTGTGCACATCACAATGTATGATGCGGTCTATAAGTATGCTTTGTTTCGGTAAGGCAGAGTTATTTCCTCTAGTCAGTTGATGCACCACGTATGTCCCCCTCCTGTTTTTCAGCTTTCTTAACGTATTGTTCAGTCACCCCTATTGTTTTGCATTTTTACCTGCGAGTGCCAGAGACGTGACTTCAACCACTGAATAAAATATTTTAATGATACAATGCTCATTTCCACGAGAAGCGCTCATGGTTGAATACCCAAAAGATCTTGAAAACCTGTCGGGCTAATCAGAACACAGAGTGGAGCTTTACGGGATATTTTGAACATGGTCTGTCACCTCGAGTAGGAGCTGGTTGAGCGGGTACTCAAGCATTTCCAAGTGATTAGTTACCTATTCCCGTATATTTTGGGCCCTTCAATAGGAGATTTAATTGTTTTACGCAATTACATCAGATTGCTAGCACATGCAAGTAGACTTCATTTATAGGATACTACCTCATCGCTGATTCGGTATGTAACTTGGAGCACAATGAGCTTCGCCAGCAAATTCTTGAACAACGGGAAACATTCAGTGAACCAAGATATAGCTTCTGGAAATGTTCAGACTCGTTGGTACTTCATTTTCATACCAGAGGAGAAAAGAGGCCTTTCACAAAACTGTTATTCACTATCTGCTTCGTTTTTAATGGATCCATATAAGTTTTAAGCCAGCTTTATAGTTTATTTTTTTAGCCAGACGGAATTTTCATGTTGAGAATTGCACGATGACAAAGAACAATTTAAAAAAAATTTTGTTATGATGGCAAGTTGCTGAGGGCCATCCAGTCATTGTATTCTGATAGCAGGTGCTGTGTCAGAGTTAATGG